CAGCTCCAGGCCCCAGGGGACCACAGCCTTGTCGCTCCCCCGGGGGATCAACCCTCCTCCCTCCCCCTCTGGGGCACTGGGGGTGGGGCTGGGCCACAGAGGCCCGTCACCCTAACCAGGGGGTGTAACCCTATCAAAAGTCCTGAAAGCTTGGGAAGCCGATTGGCTCTTTCGGAAAAGCATCTGGCCCACCCCGAACCCAAGCTGGGAATAATTCCAGGGGGACAAAGAAGTGTGCACTTGTGCGCCCGCTCTCTCTCTCTCTCTCTCTCCCTCTCTCTCCACCACCCCCCCTCCTCGTGACTTGCACTTGCCGTGCGAGTTGCAAGGCTCTCTCGCCCGGGAGCGTGCGGCCACGTGGGTCCAGCAGCTACCGCAGCCGCAGCAGGTGCGTGGGCTGCGGAAGGGCTCCCCTTTAACGTGAAGCAGAAACTCTGGACACTGGCCTTTGCTTTGGCCCCGCCGCTGACTGAGGACACTATTGGACCTTTTCCGTGGTGGGATGGAGGGAGATAACCGGGGTGGGGGGGGCAATTCTACACAAATAAACCGTTCTGCCACACCACAGCCTCCTGTGTGCGGTCCTTGGGGATCCGTCTTCACAATCCCCGGGAAGAGCTTGGTTTCCCCCCACAAAACTGTTAAGAAATCAAGACTAGAGGTTGCCAGAGGCTGGGGTCAGAGGAGGGAGCTGATTTTACAGGGTGCCGTGCACAAGGAAGCTCTGTGAGGCGATGCTGACGTTGTGTGTCTCAATGGTAGTGCTGTCTGTGTCTTATATACTTGTCAGAGCTCATCACACTATCCTTTAAAATGTGAATTTTATTGTGTAAAAGTTATACCTCACTTAAAAGTAAATTTAGCAACATTTCTGAATAAACAATCCATATACCGAGAAAACTATTTCTCTATACAGCAACACCTAGAAAATGAAATAAAAATAGCATTTCCAGCAGCATCAATAAGAAACAAATTACCTAGGAATATATTTAATGTATGCGCCCACCTCCACGCAGAAATGAGAAACGTTACTGAAAATAAATTAGATCTAAGTACATGAGAGATACAGCCGGTTCATTGATTGGAAGGCTACATGTATGAACAAATCAACTCACCCAACTCCAAACTGATCTGTAGATTCAATGTAATGTCAGACAGCACAGCGGCAAGTTCCTCTTTTTAATGAAATCGAGAAGCCAGTTTTAGAAGCTCTGTGTCGATCCAGAATGCGGAGAAGGGCTCAGGAGCCCTGGAGAGACAAGGCAGAGGGCCCCACGCCCAGACGCTAACGCCTGTAACAAAGCGCCGGCGATTCAATGGGTGTGATGTTGGCTGGACGGACAAGGACACTCACCCGCATTAACAGTACCTGGTTCATGACAGGTGGTATGAAAAGACCCCGATACATAGGTAATGCTGGGCTGATCTGACAATTAAGGTAAAACCACAGACATTGGGAGAAAACCAAGGAACTGCCATCGTGACCTTGGGATAGGCAAGTATTTCTACAACAGGACACAAAGCAGTGGAACCACTATAAAAGATTAGATCTCATTAAATAAGAACCGCTGTGAAAACATACCATGGTGAGTGAGAAGACAAAGCACAGAATTTGAGAAGCTATTTGCATGGTATCTATTATGAAAAGGACCTGTATCCAAAATGTAAAAGAATTTCTAAAAAAACGGCCCTGGCTGGCGTAGCTCAGTGGATTGAGCGTGGGCTGTGAACCAAAGCATCGCAGGTTCCATTCCCAGCCAGGGCACATGCCTGGGTTGCAGGCCACAGCCCCCAGCAATCGCACACTGATGTTTCTCTCTTTCTATCTCCCTCCCTTCCCTCTCTAAAAATAAATAAATACAATCTAAAAATAAAGAATTTCTAAAAAACCAAGAAGCCGAAATGGGCACAAGACAAATCTCTCCACAAGACAGGATATAAAAATAGACAAAAATCTTGTGTAAAAGTGCCTAATTTCATTAGTCAGGTCAAAAATGCAAATTTGAACCTCATTACAAGTATGCAACCAAACAGAGTCACAAGAAGAAAGCACTAGACAATACAAAGTGACGGAATATTCGCAGAGACATACGGACGGAGGCTCCTGTCTGCCTGGTGTGGGCACAGCTGATGCAGCCACCCGGGAACACCGACGTTCTGTGTTAACGCTAATCCTAATCACATCCTAAGACTCAGTATTTTCACTCCCGTTATTAAAAAGAATTGTATCCTATGGGCACCAAAAATACGTACAAAGATGTTGCCTGCGATATGAAGAGCCGAAAACTAGAAACAATCCTAATGTTCACTAGTAGTAGCGTGGAGTTTTGAACGTATTCACTGTGGAATTCTGTACAATTTTAAAAGGACACACAATACTACACAGCAGTGGAAAAGGGCACATCACGGTTACGCAGTGTGGGGAAACTTCACAAACTTAAGCTAAAGAAGCCAGCACAAAAGGGACGCACTGCCTGATTCCACTCCTATGAAGTCTAAACAGCCAGCGCTGATCTACGGTGACGAAAGCCAGAGCAGGGGTTTTCGTCACTGGGGGTCGTGTCCGGGACGGGCAAGGGGGTTTCCGACCGTGGGTACGGCCTGCATCCGGACTGCATCCAGATCAGGGGTGTGGGTGAGCAGGTGTGTTCAATTTATAAAGACCTTCCGGACAGCAGCTTAGGATTTCTGGCTTTTCCTGTATGTGTTCTAGATCACCATAAGGTCATACACAAAGTGGGATTACCTGTGCTCATTAAAAGTGTAGCGTCCGTTCTCTGGGGACGGACCATTGTATCAGTTTTCACACACGGAGACCAAGAATAAGTAAAAGCTGTAAGTGCATAGGGGGCTTCTAGATGTAATACATGTTTTTAAAGAAATGTTCTCAGAACTTGGCTAAATTTTGCCAGGGTGGTAAAGACAACGTGTATTTAAGAGTAGAAACCTATCTTGGCTATTGTAAATAATACTGCAATGCACTGCTGTTTTGCATTTCTTTGGATGCAGAGCCAGAAGTGAAATCGCTGGCCATAAGGCAGTTCCCGTTTTAACTTTCTGAGGACCCCCCCCCACTGTTTCCCACAGGGGCCACCCCAGTCCGCGTTCCCACCAGCAGTGCCGAGGGTTCCCGTCTCCACCCCCTCCCCACCACTTGTTGCTGTGTTGACGACGGCCATTCCGACAGGTAAGACTCATTGTGCTTTAACTTGAATTTCTCTGACGATTGGTGACCTAGAACGTGTTTTCACGTCTACTGGCCCTCTGTGCATCCTCCGCCTACTTTTTACTTGGATTGTTTTTTGTTTTTGTGTGTGTGTGTGTTGAGTTGTACAAGTGTCCATCAGTAGACAAGTGGATAAATGTTGTGGCCCATGTATACAATGGAATACTAGTTGGCCATAAAAAACGAATGAAATCTTACCCTTTGGGACCTAGAGGTCATTGTGCTGAGTGAAATAAGCCAGACAGAGAAAGACGAATGCCATGTGATTCCACTTATATGTGGAATCTAAAGAACAAAATAAAGGCGCAAAATGGAAACAGATTCATAGACGCAGAGACCAGAGTGATGGTCCCCAGAGAGGAGGGGGCTGCAGGGCTGGGCGAAAAAGGTGGAGGGACTGAGAAGTGCAAAGCTGCCAGTTTACTCACAAAAACAGCCACAGGCATGTGAAGTGCAGCATGGGAAATGCAGTCGGTAGCACTGTAGGAACTATGAATGGTGTCTGGTGTGTACGTGAAATGTCAGGCACATCACTCCATAAAACGTGAGAATCCAATCACTGCGCTGCCCACTTGCAACTAATTCAAAATAACACTGAATGCAAATTGTAACTGAAAATAAAACTAAAAAAGGCAGAAACCTAAAAACACAGTAAATTTCAAATGACTCCATTTCAATTTGGATAATTTAAATTTCACTTACAAGCAGAGGCCTTCTCTTAAAAATAAGATTAGTGCATGTATTTGCAGAATGACTGAAAATTTCCCAGAAATTCAGCAACCTAAACCCTCGGTGTGTATCTCACTACTATTCGTTGGAATCCTTCCAACAACTAGGGCAAAGGAGTGAAAACATTAATCATTGCCAAGTTCTCATAGTGTATTCCTTTGGACCGCCAGCTAGAAAATTCCGTGTTTATTTAGTCAACCAGCTTGTTTTAAAATTCTTCTATGTAAATCACTCATTTGTATGTAAACATCATTAAAAACGTTTAGAATAAGGTTTCTATGAATGCAACAGATTTTATAAAGAACCTAAGGTAATGACGGCAGAACCCTGTAATTATAAAATTACCTAACAGAAAATACTGCGATGGCCTTTCTAGAAACCTCTCTTTAGAGCAGTACCAGAAAACAGACACACACAGGAAGAGGTGACTCAGGTTTACTCAGTGAACAGTACATAGAAATTTATTTGAAAAATGACCGGCCACGTTTGCAATGAAACTCCAAAATATCGAGTGCTAGGTGGCCGCAGTATTCTGACGTCAGGGAGCATCCACACACACAGTTTACGGGGTTCCTGCCGTTCCAAAGGCATGACACATACCTCGGCGAGACACAGTGCTCGCAGAAAAGCAGACGGACTCAGGAAGGAGCTTTCAGGAGATTGACAGGCCAAATCTTTTTTTCTGCCTTCCTTTGGAAAGTTCCCTCTTTCCCTCTCCCTCTTTGTAAAATGGTTCCAAATTCATGTGCTCAGAACTTATTTAAAATACATTAATATGCCCTGGCTGGTGTAGCTCAGTGGACTGAACACGGGCTGTGAACCCAAGTGTCGCAGGTTCGATTCCCAGCCAGGGCACATGCCTGGATTGCAGGCCACGGCCCCCAGCAACTGCACATTGATGTTTCTCTCTCTCCCTCCCTTCCCTCTCTAAAAATAAATAAATAAAATCTTTAAAATACATTAATATATAAAACTGTTAGTTGTTTTACTATGAGCATGGCATGCATGTTCTGTTGGTTCAAGAACAAAATTAAAACAAGATATCCTCTGTAAAGCAAATATATTTATTATGCACTTTCATATACATAGGGATTTTTGCGTAATATAATACAAGGAATAAAATAAAACTTTTACAATGTGAAGTTCAATGTACATTTTAGGCTATTTACATACCCCAAACCAATGGAAAAGTAAAAAAGAAAGTATTTGTTGGCATCTACATTTGCTGAGACAAGTAAATAAATGGAGGACACGGAGCAAAACAAACATTTGCATAGCCAGACAATGTTGAGAAAAGCATGGACTCCTGCTTTTGCAGAAGGAATTCTTTTTGGTGAAGATTCTCGTAGGGGTGGGACGAGGGTGAGGGACAGAAGACACCGCTGGGCTACGCAGGACACACTGAGCTCTGGGCAGACTTTCCCACAAGCACTGAGATCTTTATTCTTCGTTCCTGTGCTCCCTACCACTCCCCGTGTGTCAGCTCATGACTCTGAGGGGCAGGCAGAGACGGAGTATTCCAAACCTGTTCAAAGCACATGGCATCATCGTAGGCATGTAGTGGCGTCAGGCGATTTACAAAATTTAGCCAGTTTAATTTTTAAAATAGCTTTTTAGGAGTTATAGTTGGGGGACTCCTTTTACTCTCCTTAGTGGATTAAAAGCCATTTTCAATCACGGTATGAAATCCCCCACAGAAAGAAACCAGCAAAGTAGGGCACCTGGATTCCCTGGCATCCTTAGCCTAACTGAAAGCCATTTTTTGTTCTATTCCAAAACGTAATATAAAAACATTCAGAGGAATACTTACTTTCGAAAGTCTTATTTTTCCAGCAGGTTTTCTTCCTACCAACTGTTTCAAGTTTTTATCGTATGAATATGAAAACATTTAGCTGTTTGAAAAACATAAATCCCTTCTGTAATGAGTCATATCTTTGCCCTTTGGCTACAAGGTGCATTTTTGTAAAAAAAAACAAAAACAAAAACAATAAAATTAAATAAATACAATTCCAATAATTCAAGGTTAATAGAAAAACTGGCAGCTTTCAGGGTTCTCTAAAAAAAATACACCTAGTAAGAAATTAGAGCTTCATCTTCCACAGCAATGTAAATGCACTGTATCTGAGGCATGACCAAGATTGGTTCTCATAACAGTATGTGTTCATATTTATTAAAAGAATCATTAACACTTTTAAGGCTACTTTGCAAGAGTCCTGTTAAGTGTATTAATAAATGTCCCATGGGGACAAAAATTCAATACTTGAAACATTCACATTCGAGTTCTCCACATTGCCATGTCACCCTAATGGCGACAGAACTCATTACTGCACCTCCTACTCCTGACTCGGACTCGGTGACACGAACAAGACGAGTTTTGCCGACTCTAAACAACAAAAGCAAAATGCAAGGCCTTACAGAAGATCCAAGTGAAACAGGGACCACGACCAAGTGCACGCGGCTTCTGTTTGTGTGAACAATGTGTCACGTGGAGATCCTTCGTGCGAGATGACATTACTGACCTCGGTTACCTAAGAAAGACATTTTCTAAACGTTCTCTTCTCCTACTGGCAATGGTTTTGTGCTGAATCTCCAAATTCTCTTTCCTCATTCCTCCTTCTTACCAAGGGTATATGGGAAGAACTGAATTTCTGGATTTTGTAAGATTTTCGGGGCTCCTAAAAAGATCAAACACAAGCCCTTGGCTTTTAAATACACTCGAGCCTTTCCGGACGCGTGCGCGCCCACTGAAGCTGGCTCCGCATGCCCGCCCACCGGAGCCAGTTGGCTCGCTTTGGCTTGCTCACGGACCTCACCCTCGACCCTGGCGGCCATCCCGAAGGCAGCTGTCCGAGGAAGAAAACAGGAAAGAGTATGTGGACAAAGCTTAGTGTTTATCAGATACCCCAAAACCCCACACACGTGCTATGACGGGCAGGTTGGTGGTGTCCCCGGTGAAGGACAGTGCTTACCACACTCATCAAGAACGTTCATCCCACTAACCACTGGAATCAACCCAACTGATTTTCAGCGGGGACTTATTTCCAGCATGCTTGATTTGCAAAATAGAAGCAACTGAGAGAGAAGCCAGCATTAAAACTCGCACTGGTAAATTATAGTGTATTCAACTCGACGGAGGAGATGAGGGCAGTCGATGAGCTAATTGTTCGGGGATCAGCAATCCACCCTCAGAGACCGCTGGGCCTCCCTCTACACGCACGCCACTGAGGTCCGACTCTGTCTTGGGCAGTGTCCGGCCTCGGGGGCGACCATCCATCTTCTCGGAGGTGGAATGACCCGTGAGCGGAGGGTGCACTCGCGCCCTGGTGAATGGGACAGAACTGCGCTCTGCCTTGTCTGTTTTCCTTTCTCCTCCCTGATGCTGTAACTCAGAGATCGGGAGGGTTCCACTGGGAAATCCCAATCTCAGTGACTTAGAGCAGCTCCCTAAAAGACTAGAAATTAGTGTGAAATCTATGAAAAAACCGTTGTCTTCACCTCAAGGTGGCATTAAACGGAAACTCCTTTTAACCGATGCTGAAGGTGTAGCAGGTATAAATAGTTGCATGGTTTATTTTATTGAGTGACATTTTTAAAGGTACAAGAAACGAGCCGAACACTACAGCAACGCGGATGTGACTCAACAGTAGGCTTAAGATTCATTTGCCACAAAAACAAAAAAATAAATACAAGGAACACTGCCTGTTCATATATATTTGATCATGGCACATGCACATTTATCAAAACTTAACTTAAAATACGTAAAGTTTTCTCAGCTTTTATCAGGGAACTGCAGTATACACCTGCATTTTAAAAAGTGCTCGTTCTGGTGGAGTGAATGGATACAAAGCACACGAAATGGAGTTTCTGAAGCACGAGAGAGGGTCACACCAAGACGGCAGCCCAGAGCCAGGCACAGGGCGGCGCTCGCGGGGCGGCCGGCAGCTCCCTGTGGGTCGTGTCTTCCCTGCCTCCCTCCCGCAGGCGGCGGGTGCTGCGTTGTCATCCGGCGGCCGAGGAACCACCCCGATCACCAGGTCTTCCGTTTCACAGGATGGGGAACTAATGCAGAATTAAAGAGATATATATATATGAATTTCTACATTGTACTTACTGTGCGACTACATACAGTGTTAGGACCACATATGATAATATACACTTTCTGTGTAAAGCACAAAGTAGACATCAGAGATTCACTATTTAACTTACAAGGCATTTCGAAAGGTCCCACAAAATGCTACCTTAATTCATGTATTCAGCTGCTCAGGACCCACCGTTTTACTTTGCCTTTACAAGAGGTGTCATGAGTTGGGGAGTGGTAGCATAGAGCAAAACACTTTTAAAATAAATCACATTGGAGAATGAACTAACTACTTCATACATATTCTTTTTGAATGGGATTTGGCCACACAGAGGGGCATCTGTTAGTAAAAGGTATAGTAATGTGTCACCTAAAATATATCTCCAAAGACAAAAGAAACATTAAGAAAGAGCTTTCCGTTTGCTAGAAGGAAAGAGTTCAGTTTTGTTAGAGGATAAAAATGATTAAGCAAAGTGGGATAAACACACTTGTAAAAGTCAGGAAAGATTCCTAATGAAATATTTATCGCCAATATCAGAAATGTGCTTCTAAAAAAAGCATAGATAAAACAAAATTCTGTATCTATTTTCCCATTAACTTCCCCAATATAATTAATGAAGCATGCACTGAGGTGTTATTTAATAAATATGACTTTATTTTTGCGGTTTTAACACTTAATTCTTATGCCTAAATATAATGGCCTCTAAAATCCCCTTTGCCAATACAGCCACCCCCCACCTTTCCACACTTATGCTTGGTGGGTGCGAAGTTTACTTAGAAGAGTCTTAAGAACCTGCCTACAAAAAATTACCTTTGGCTGATTAGGTCTCTGACTTCCAGGGTGAAAAGTCAGGAAACTAACATGTACTGTCATCTACTCTGCACTGCATACGCTATTTTATTCAAACCAAGAAGTATTACAGAAATAGTTCCTCCCTCTATTATCATCAAAGAACTTTTAAGAGGGAAAATGACTGTATGGAAGGAATTCTTAATCTGAGACCCATAAATAGTATATTCATTCATCCATTCATCCATCCATCCATCCATCCATCCATCCAACACATTTTTACTGAGAAACTCCTATAGGTCCAAGCAGTATCCCAAGTACGTGGAGCGAGCAAAACAGATGAAAATCCCACCCTCACGAAGATTCCACTTAAGTCGGAAGGGGGCACATAATCAACGTAGTAAATAAAACACAGGAAGTACGTGAAACCGTCCGCACTCTGGGCGACAAAAGGAGGGCAGGGAAGAGGGGTGCTCCAGGTGGGAGAGGCCCAACCCCTAAGGGGGGACCAGACCTCTGGCATTCTACTCTGTATGCTGAGCCAACGTTACCTGTTACAATGGCGTTTCCTTTTTATAGTTGAAGCTGGGGTCGGAACCATCGATCTGAAGCTTCAGGGCTTGTTTAAGGCTCAATTCCGTCTCTGACGCCGGGTACCCTTCCAGCACGTCCTGGTGCCCCCTGTCTTGCACTGTGCGGGGGACGGAGACCCTGCCGAGAAACACCTGGCTGCTCTGGAGGTGGTAGTTCGGGTTCGTCATTATCCCGTTCCTCTTCTTCTGCTCCCCGCCCTGCTGGTGAATGAGCAGTGGCTGCTGAGACCGGCCGACCTCCGGCTGGGCGGACGGCGCCGTCATTCTGCACGGAGGTTCTGCTGGCGTCTGCTTCGGGGGCGCGCCGGGCCCGGGTTTGGCTGCGGGCCCTCTCGCATCGAACTGAGTCATCTCGTATTCTAAGACCTTTGGCTGCGAGGAATTGTTCTGTTTAGCCTTTTTCCCAGCTGACCCCGATTTACTGGAAGTCTCTGACTTCCCCCCCTTGTTTGTTTTGGTTGACTTCAGACTGGGCTTCACCTGACTCCACTCGAACTCGCTGCTCGGGGAGCGGTGGCTCTGGCCCAGGGACTGCGTCGTGGAAGACGGGGACACGATGGACTGCCGGCTCCTGCTGCGGGGCAGCGAGTGCTGCTGGATCTGCTCGGTAAAGGACAAGCTGTGGAAGCTGTCGATGGGCACGGTTTGGGCCGTTGCCGTGGACGAAGTCGTTCTCAAGGAGGAATTCTTGGAGCTCTTCAGGGAATTATTCGACAGGGACGACTTCTGCCGGTCGACCGTGGAGTCTGGAGACTCGGAGGGGGAGCTGAACGCGTGCGCTGGCCCGTTGGGTAGGCTGCGCAGGGGCGGGGGCTGCACGTCCCCCGCGCCGGTGCTGCCGGAGCTGTTCGACTTAATGGTCAGCGACTGCATCTTTGAAGACACGGACTGCAGGGGCTTCTGCTCCATCGTGTGAACGGGAGACGGGGAACAGCCGTTCAGACTGGACGCGCCGTATTTTTCTAGTAACTTAATGATCTGGGAGTGCCCATTCTTGGCCGCCACACGCATGGCGGTGCGCCCAAACTGGTCTGCGTGGTTCGGGTCGGCGCCCTGCTCCAGGAGGACCTGCACGACGTCCATGTGCCCCTCCTGGGCCGCGATGCAGAGCGCCGTGGCGCCCTGGTTGCACGTGTGGTCCACCGCGGCCCCGTGCTCGATCAGCAGCTGCACCACCTTCACGTGGCCCTGCCAGGCCGCGGACTGCAGGGCCGACCGCTTCTCGTTGTCCGCCGCGTTCACGTCGGCGTGGTAGGCGATCAGCGCCTGCACCATCTCCAGGTGGCCCTGCCAGCAGGAGACGTGAAGCGCCGTCCTCCCTTCGGCGTCGCTTGTTTCCACGTTCGCACCGTTTTCCAGAAAGTACTCGGCCATGACCAGCTGGTTTTCTAAGGCCAGAATGTACAGGGTGGGCCTGCCGTCCGCGTCTCTGTAGTTGACGTCCGCCCCGTGGCTGAAGAGCAGCTCGACAATGTCCCTGTGTCCCTCTAGGGCGGCAACCCGCAGCGCGTTCCTGCCGTCATAGCCTCTCTGGTCGACGTTGGACTTGCTCTCCAGCAGCATCTGAACACAGTCATAGTGGCCCTCTTGCGCGGCCAGTATGAAGGGTATTCGCCCATCGTTGTCAATCTCGTTTGTTCTAGCACCCTGCTCGATAAGTGCCTCGCATATTAGTCTGTGACCTTCGAAAGCCGCCATGTGCAGAGGCGTCCACCCGGCGTCGTCTCGGTGGTTTTCATCTAGCCCCCTGTCCAGCAGAGTGCGCACCACCTCCACGTTCCCCTGGGCCGAGGCTATGCTGAGCACCGTCCTGCCCTCGCTGTCGATGCTGTCCACGGCCGCCCCCCAGAACAGGAGCGTGTTCACCACCGAGGCGTGGCCCATGGAGGCCGCGGCCAAGAGGGGCGTCCGGCCGTTGTTGTCGGTGTGGTCCACGTCCGCGCCCCCCTCCAGAAGCAGGTCGACCACGTCGACGTGCCCCTCGTAGGCGGCCACCAGCAGCGGGGTCATGCCGTCTTTGTCGCAGTGGTCCACCTCGGCCCCTCGGTCGATCAGCAGGCTGACGACCGAAGCGTGCCCCTTGCTGGCGGGCACGCAGAGCGCGGCCACAGAGAGCGCGGTGCGGCCGTCCACGTCCTCGTGGTTCACCTCCGCCCCGTGGTCCAGGAGGTGCTCCACGATCTCCCTGTGCCCCATGTACGCCGCCGCGATCAGAGCGGTCCGGCCCTCGTTGTCCGCCTTGTTGACCTCGGCGCCGTGCTGCAGCAGGTTCAGCACGATGTCCTCGTGCCCGCCCCACGCCGCGGCCCGCAGGGCGGTGCGGCTGTCGGCGTCTGCGCAGTCCACCGTGACGCCGGCGTACAGCAGCGCGGAGACCACCTCGGTGTGACCGCCCCAGGCGGCGGACCTCAGCGCCGTCCAGCCGTCCCGGTCCGTGTGGTTGATGTCCGCGCCGCGCCCGATCAGACAGCTCACCACCTTGGTGTGCCCCTGCCTCGCGGCGAGCGTGAGCGGCGTGTGCCCGTGGGCGTCTTCGATCTCTAAATCCGCCCCCCGGGAGACCAGCAGGTTCACCACGTCCAGGTTGCCGCCGTACGCGGCGTTGGCCAGCAGCGTCCTCCCGTTGGAGTCGCACTGGTTCACGGAAGCGCCGTTGTCCAGCAGGGTCCGGATGGAGTCCTCCCTCTCCAGCGCCTGGCGGACTATGCAGGAGGCGCGGTCGTCCTGGCTGTTCACGTGCGCGCCGGCCTTCACCAGCAGCTGCAGCACCTCCTGCTCCTTGGGGACGAGCGTGGACAGGGAGTCTCTGACGGGCGTGCCGTTCCAGATCATCCACAGGGCCAGCTCGGCGGGCTCCAGCTGCAAGTTCGAGTTGATTAAGTGCAGTGCAAACTCTTGTGCTTCCAGCGGGCTCAGATTCTCGGCTTGGCAGGTATAGCTCATAGCCAGCATTCTGTGTCCTTCCGCCGCGTTACATAAATACTTCTGAGTGCAGTGCTTCACGTCCAGAAGCCACTCTGCAAAACTGTAGTGAAACAGTATTTTGGTGTTTCCCAGTCCGTCAACAAGAAGTTTGGAGAGGACGTCTAACTTGCGTTGAAAGTCTTCCAAGGTTAGTGACATGTTTTTGGTCCACACCGCATGATACAATTCTGTTATGGTCAAAGGTCGGCAGGCTGCAAGGATCACATTCAGAATAGGCTGCACCTTGGCAAACTGCTTCCTCACAAAAAGTCTCTGACACAGCCAGAGATAGAGCCCGTTTAGAGTTCCCGGGATGTCACGGATCTCTCGTAACATAATAAAATTTTCTACAACTCCATCCAGAACGCGTTCCAGATAAAGAAAGCACCCACTGCTTTTAATGTGCAGCTGATTCAACATCTCCGCGGTTTCTTTCGTGAGGTGTTGTCGCAAAGCTTCTTCTTGATCCAAACGGTGAAGAATGTACTGCTGCACGTCCTTAACAATGTACGCCTTCCGGAGGTCATCTAGACTTATTTTCCGAAAACCTAGAGAGACAAAAAGTAGACGTCATCCTTTGGAAACGATGACCGAAGTTGTTATACACTCAGAGAGAATGCCTTCAATATGTAATCAGCTAACAAGCAAAAAGGTCAGTGATAAACCAACCAATACTAATAAACTGATGCCTGTTAGTACATGAATCAGTTTTATTTTCCTTCTGTAAGCACGCAATGATGGCAGACACACGATTTCGTTCTGCAGCCCACAAATGCAGCCACTCTCTGGTGGCTCTGTACTGCACTCCACTCCAGGGGCGAGCGTCCCACAGTTCTCCTCCACACACGCCCAAACAAGCACGGCGACACCTGCGGAACTCTCAAGCGATTAGGGAAAAAAGTTGTGGGAAACACAACAAATAAGATTTGTTTGTTTTTACAGTTGATGTTTTTCACATGAAAAATTTATGTATTTCCATCTCCATAACTAAATGTATACTAGCTTTAACTAGGGGACTGAATATTCATATCTAATTAGAATATCACCTGTCACCGCCTTTGAATAACATTATTTTGCCTGTTATCAAATTAAAGTAATTAAATGTCACACTGCCAAAAAATAGCCCGAACCTTAAGATGCAACTTGGTCAAATTATGGTGACACAACTTCAGCATTGTAAAAATAAAGCAACTTAATATAATTCAAACCAACATGAAAACATCCTAGTTAAAGCTGTTTGAAACTCACCTTTAAGTTCTTGAAAGGGAACTGTAATTTCATTTCCTAAAGGGAGGAGGTGTCCTGATTTATAGGTATGAATTTATCAGGCAGGTGTGTTTTCATCTTACAGAAGAAAAAACTACTGAGTGAATGAACTCCCTTAAGAGACATTACTCGAGAAAGTCAGCAGAGATTAGTAATGGTCGATTAATACTGGGTGAAATGCTCTTACCCAACTCAGTAAAACAAATACGTATGTACCCAGGGTCTGGCACAAATAACGCCCCTTTTTATTACAAAATCATAAGCATGGAATTCTGTAACATGACAATCCCACTCCAGCACACCGTATGACATTTTAGGTGGAGTGCTCAAATTAAGACTATAAATTACTACACCCGCATTATTGCCCTACCCACCACACTCCAGCAGGCCTCACTGCTGCGGCCCCTGTACATCACCCACTGTGTGTCGGGCGCTCTGTGGGATGATGAGACTTCTATCCTGAGATGACCCACTAGTGCGGAATACGTGACCAGACCCGCACTGTGGAGGGCAGGCCAGACGCCACAGCAGAGCTGGGGCTGAGCTGTGGGCAAGGCCTCTCCAAAGAGCCTGCGAGCCAGTCGGGGTCAGGGTCAGGGTCGCTAAGGGCCTGGGCCACCGCAGCAGCACAGAAGAAGTCAGACGAGGGTCTGGGGACAGTCAGTAAGAGCCAGAGGGCACAGAGCGGGCCGCAGCTGGGGAGGGAGGGGAGGCGGAGTCGAGGCTGACACGAACCACTCTGGCCTGATGGAGGAGGACCACGGGTCTGGAGAGGAAGCTGATAGATTCAGTTTTGTGATACTAAGCTTGAAGTACTCACATGAAATAGGTAAATGTATTAAAAATACAACCTACCAGAATGACATATAAAGAAATAACAAATTTGCACAGCTCTAAATCTATACAAAAGTGGAATCTGTGATTATACATATACCTGCATGCAACTGATTATTAACTAATTATACAAATAGATTACTTTCAATAGAATTAATTTCAAAAGATAAATGTTAATGATTAAAAGGCATTCTTGATCTAAGGAGAGTTTAAAACATTTATAGAAATTTATATCCCTCTACATTTACCAATGGTATAAGGTACAATAACTTGCCTCAAAACCTTTTTCTGTGTGTTCATTTGCTCTTGGATTTATGAAGTCATTAAAACAATTTAAGTTGGGAAACACGTGGAATGCTGTTAATAAACATTTTTTAAAAAGTAACTATCTTACATATTACAGTGTTTCAAAGTTTCCAAAGTGATCTTTTCGATATTGACCGATTTATTTACATGAAAGGTTATAGTACCTATTATGAGTCAGTATCTATTAATTTAAACCTACTTAACGAAGATACCATGGCTGAAACTGGAGATGATTAAGACGGAATCGAGGCTACACCTCCATAGCAACAGGTTCAGTTCCCAAGAAACAAAGAGATCATTCAGTCAGTAGTTTTAAAGCAGCACTTCAAGCCCTTATCCTGCCTAACTCCTCTTTATGTCACGCCTGTGAGGGAGGTCTCTGCACTTTAAAAATGAAGGTGCTAAAGTTGAAACAGGTCAGTGTAACTGCCCAAGGTAGGAGGGCTGGCAAGCCACAGGCCAAGGACTCGGACTGTTTTGACCCAGAAGTTTGCTCTTCTCATTAAGATGGGAATGGGCGGGGAAGATTGTGAAGGGGAATGTGAGTGCTGGACGCTGGACGGGGTGAGGGCTGGTGGGCGGGGCCACAAGACTGACTCTAAAAGAGAGGAGAGAAAACTTAGGGAAGTAACAGACATGAAATGCTCACAGTTAAAAGAACAAAGAGCTTCCAAATGGAAATGTGCTTAGTTACATGAATTTACACGGAAACAATTAGTGTTCATCACTAATGATAGTTATCTGTTCCTTAATATAGAACTAAGAATATTTATTAATCAACAATTTGAATGTCTTGAGTTAAAGTTGCTGAAAATAAGTGCTTCTTTTTGGAGTGCAACTTCTGCCCATTTTACATGTAATTCCTTTCTCTTGAACAGACACCATTTGATACATTGCTATCAAAGCACTTTAAAATATTTTTGTAAGGTTGACAAAGGCTCGAAAGTTTCAGGGTAAGATAAATGACTTACTACAATGTTCGACCACTTTTGTATTCTTCCTTAAAACATTTATCAGGGTGTGCGACTCCTCAATGCTGGGGACAGCAGAGCGACAGGACGCTAGGACCTGGGCCAGTCCGTACAGACTGGCACTCGCTGCATCACTGATTGTCCTGAGGACTCCGTGGGGTGAGAGTGTGGGGAAACGTAAAAGCACGAGAATAGGAAAGTTAAGTGAATGCTGGCATACTGGTATACTAGTAAGTTATGTATCCATGAAAATAGATACTAAGAAGACAACAATACAGTGACACTGAAAGATCTATAAATGTTAAATTTACAATGCAGAATTGAACTGACCTAGAGCATGATCTCAACCGGGGGGGTAACACACACAGAATTCAATCCAGAGTGTTCGAGAGTGATTATCACTTCATCTCTGAATGATGTGCTACTTGAGTATGTTGTCGTTTAAAACAGTCTTTATAGAGAGCGTGTATCACTTTTGAATCAGGTAAACTAAATATGTATAAACATCTTCAAAGTCTTTGAGGTTTAATATTTTATACACAAAACACTTTCAAACAGGCTGCTGTTCTTTCAGTCCCGGGACAAGTGTCGGCAGCTGGCAGCCTGTGACCACACCCTCACGTGTGTGCAAAAATCCTGCTCAGCGCCGAAGGGGCTGTTCGTGCAACGAACCTGACGCTGTCTGCTCCTGGTCAGCACAGTATGCGCCCCAGCAAAGGGGGTCTCTTCACAGAATGTTACATGCTCAGATACGAGCAGATGAAACTGATTTAGACACAGCAAAAACCTTAATGGTACTGCTCTGTGGGTTATGTACCTGACAATTTTAAGTTCGGACACATAGATCTCAACTCAAAATCCACATATTTCAACTTAAAACATTAGCAAAAAGCAGGAAGAGATGTGCAGGACATAGATAAGAATAACTGAAAAATCTAAGAAAAATGTTGAATAAATGAAATGCCATGTTCATAGATGGAACAAAAGCATATATATTTTTTTATTGCCACCCAAGGACATTTTTTCATTGTTTTTAGAGAGAGAAGGGACAGAGGAAGAGAGAGAGAGACAAACATCGCCTGGTTGTGTTACGATACACACCCCAGCCAGGGCTCAACCCCGCAACCCGGGCACATGCCCTGACTGAGAATTGAACCCGTGACCCTGTGGTCCACAGGACAACACTCCCAGTAACTGAGCCACACCGGCCAAACCTAACATACTAGTACTTTTATGTTCAATTTTATTATTAAGAAAACGTGTACAGATCAATTAGGTTTTACCACACTGTAAAATGCACAGACCTACTTAAAACTGACGTGGCTACTTAGCGAATAACTAACTTCATTGCTTTCTCTCCACTTACACTGTAAATCCTGCGAGTGGTCCTTGTTTACACTCCTTTCATTTTACAAAGCACACAGAATGCTTTACGTAATTGAACAGGAGTAATCACAGCTATATCGTGTTAGTAACAAAAGTAAAATAGTTCAGTTAAAAAAACCCTGATCATGTGCTTTTACACACTATTTACACACGTTGTCCTTTCCCATATCGGGAAAGGGTGTCAAAAAGGACACAGTTCGGGAGGCACCCCAAAAGGCTGTGGACCGCCTCTCCTCCCACACGGGAAGGCCACCTCGCCAGCTGCCACTGGCGGTTTGAGAAGCGTGCCCACCGCTCTCCAGATGCTCGGTCGAGTCGGAGCAAACACGGCAGGCGGCGGTGCCGTCCCTGCGCCATAAACGCACACCCCCACAGAGGAAGGGCAGCTAGGCGGCGTGAAACACCCCCGACATTTATGAAGGAAGTCAGGAAAACAATCTTGAGAAAGGCAACGGTTAAAGGATCCTAAAACACCCTGTGGCTCATTGTCAATAGAACTTGTACAAAGCACCGTTGAGAACAGCCAACAGGAGCAGCCCCGGCCTTCCCACCGCGCCCGCTCCTCCAAGAAAGAGCCACCCGGACCAGGCCACCGACGAGGGCGTCCGAGGACGGCAGCAAGGAGTCGTGCTTACCCGTGAACATTTTAGTGACGGCCTTGCTCTGCTTCCGGGCAGAGCAGAGCAGCAGCAGCCAGGGCGGGAAGAACTCGTGGTGGCCGGCCAGGAGCTCCGCCACTGTCCCGGACAGGCTGGTGGGCGTCTGTTCGCCTCCGGCGACGTCGCAGCCCTCGTCCACAGAGTCCACGAGCAGGTAGAGGCTCTGCTGCGGAGGCTTCACGCCCAGCAGGGGGAGCAGAACACACCTGGAAGGCACATCCGCACAAGCAGAGTGAGCGGCGTGGGCGCTGGCGCGGACCTTTGTTATGCAAACAGGAGGCTTACCCGCTAGGGACGTGTACAAACACGCTTCAAAGGTGAACTCAGGTTTTAGCGTGAAAGCACTGTACAGGTTTCGATTCCTTCCTTTAAGGAGGAATTCCTCACTTCGCTTTTATCTGAACTAGCGTGCACTGCCAATCACATTTTCCACAGTCGAGTGTGTGAGTGTGAGTTCAGTAATTCAGCACAGGTAAGGAAGAGCAGTGGGAATGTGAGGGAACCGTATTTCAGTTTTCTCCAACCTTCTGAATTGGCACAAAGCTTGAACTGTTTATAACAAAGCTAGAATGTGTTGCAAAGGGGGGAGAACAAATTTGGGGACCACTCTAACAATAAGGAAAATAGCAAAGGTTCCGGAGAAGTCAGGAGTGTTGCATCACCGTCTCTCTTACAACAGGGCTGCACTGTAGGCCAGCTGGTCACACAGACTTTATCTGGAAAGACGGTGCACAGATGAACTGCAGGCTAGGTCCCTCTAGACGGATTTTCAAATTCCAGTGCAGGGAATAAACTACTGGGTATCATTCCACTGAATATATTTCCTGCTCACAGAATTTACATTGCAGCTGACATGACATTCTCACAACTAAAGCCGTGCTCACGCATCTCCAACGTGTACGTACTTACCGCGTGCCGCGTGCGGAGCGCGGTGCGGACTCAGCCCGCCGGCGCAGCGGAGGACACGCCCGCCCAGCCGTGACAACAGTGCACGGGCAGTCCGCCCACCACTGCGCTCTTCCCGGGCAGGCCCACGGCACCCCCGAGCCGCCTCAGCAGCGCGCCCTGTCCCCATTTCTTCGTAAAGGTCTCAGACCCATCCCGCCGGTCACACCGTCACCCCAGGCCAGCGCCCTCCGGCCTCTTTCACCTCCTGGCACACACACGGCAATTGCTACAATTCTGTGGCACACCAAAAAAAAGTTTTTTTGCCAAGGTGACAAAATAACAGGTGTGATTTTGATTCGTTCCCATGGGACGGCTGCTGCTGTGCTGGCCGCTGTCACTTTTCTACCTGCCAGTCTAAGGGCAGAGGTCGGTGCCCCGACCCAACAGTCCGGTGGTGTTGCACGTCTTGAACACTCTCGCGGCCAGCTGGCTGGCACTTTGCTGCCCCGGTCCACACAACCGTCCCCTCTGTCACCTGGGCCAGGGTGACAGCCACACGCCTCCCCGAGCCCCCCTCCGGAGAGCCCACTGCAGCCAGACACCGTTCTCAAAGTGTCCCTCCAGCCACAGCGGCCTTCTTTCAATGACTTTTATTAGACACAATTATACAGGGGCCTTTTCATTTAGTTTCCTCTGGCTGGCACTGCTTCCCTTCTCTCATCCTGTAATTAACTCATCAGGGAAATGCAAATGAAAACCACAGGAAGACACCACCAGACACCTATTAGAACTGCTGAAGGAAATGAAAACCCCGAAACTACCGAGGGCTGCCAGTGACGTGGCGCAGCGACACAGCCGTGCCCAAATCGCCAGCGTGGAGGAGTTTGGCGGTTCCTTAGAAAGTTAAATGCACACCTGCCCCACGGCCCGGAGACCCTTTCTAGGCATTGACCTGAGCGAGGTGAGACTCTCGGGGACACAGCAGTCTGCACGTGAAGGTTGACGGAAGCCTCATTCATAAACCTACAATAACACACCAGCAGCCAGAACTGCTGATTCAAAATCTAGTGGACGGCGCTGTGTTCATCCAAGCTGCTTTGTTCCTAGAAGCTGGTCACCGACCAAAATTCTCAGGCACTAAACACCCGATCGGACACCAGGACACTGATCTGAAAATGACTGACCTGCCTTGGCTATGTTAAAGCAGCTCGGCTCCCTGGCGCTAGAGGACTGGGGAGCAGGACACGTGATGCCTCTGTATTCTGTATCGAGTGTGTGTACAATGTGTGTTAACTTACTTTCCTTTGGAAACCAAATATTTAAAGTGGAAAAGTGGGAAATACACAGTCGCCCTCACACTTGCTGAGTGTGTACAAGTGTGAAGCACCACGCGGAGTGGTCTCTGTGGGCTCCCCTGTCTACTCCCCACGGCAGCCCCGCGACACACACACTGTCACCGTCCCCGAGCTGCAGATGAGGAGACGGGCGCAGGAGAGCGGCCTGCGCGGTGACGCAAGCCGCAAGTGGCGGAAGTGGGAACAGAATTCGGTGTTTCGAAGTTCCTCTTCTTTTTTATGCTAAACTGAATCTGAAAATGTCAGGAAGTTGTATAAACCCTGAGGTCCAAAGTTCTTAGAGCAACCTGACTAAATTAGCAAGCCGCTAACTTTTTAGCATTTAATTACCTGAAAATGGTTTCAGGGAAAAAACAAAATTACCATATTTTCAGCCACACCAGCCAGGGCTGGATTACCTTCTTTTTTATGGCTGAATAGTATTCCATTTATATATATACCATGATTTCTTGACCCATTCATCTGCCATGGACATAGGTTGTTTCCCTATTTTCTTTTCTTAGGAACAAAATTATCCACCCAATAAATTAAAGCACATGGTACAGAGGGTAAAACAATGAAAGTGTAATTACTATCTCCAATCAGTTAAAAATCAAATATTATATATTTGTTCATTTTTTAAAATCTAGTAAGTAAAACTTATAACTAGAAACAGGCTAGAAGTTTGGCCCACATGCAGGGTAAGACTTCTCTCTGCACTTTTGACCAAGATGTTGTCATGACTTCATGCCCTCGTGCACCGTTTCCCCTTTGTTAAAGTACAGCTGGGAAATATGGAATAGGAACACAAAAAGAAAAATATAACCAGTCAGAGATAAAATAAACACTTCAAAGCATAAGAAACGGGGAAGTAGCAGAATGCTGAAGAGGAACCTGGAACTCTGGTCTGCCAAGAAAGCGGCGGCGGCGGCGGCGGCGGCAGCAGCAGCTGGGCCCGCACCCAGGCCTCCACCAGCAGGACTCACACTGTGGGCGCCAGACGAGGGGCTGGGGCGGCTCGCTGTCACCCAGCGAGAGGAAGAGAGGGAGCCTTCCCACGGAGGGTCAGGGCCTCGGCGCAGCAGCAGGGAGGACCCAAAGCCGGCCCTGGCGGAGAAGGGAGCCCCGCCGGGCAGGCCACAGCTCAGGGACCACGTTTACCCAATCGCCACGCCCGACCGCCTTGGAGTGGGGGCTGCACACCTTCGCTGTCAGCCCCTCGTCCGAGGCCACGAGGCAGGTGAGCAGCGCTGGAGGCGCAGCAGGGAGGGCAGGAGGTGGGAATGGTGGCGGGAGGGGTCCGAAGGGGCGAGTGCAAGGACACCGCGGGGGCCCCCCGTGCCCGGAGGCCAGCAGCGAACCCGCAGCCAGAACGTGCGCTCACATCCCACCGATGGGGATCCGCAGAACTGCCAAAGGACTGAAAGGAAGTGTATTTGTGTTGTGCAGACAAAAATGAAATTCATTCAAAAATTATTTAACACGCAAATAAAACAGCGAAGAACCAGGAAAATCTTCCTCACTGGGACCCCTACTGCCAGATAAAGTGGAGTGGGTGGCAGCGGCCCCAAACCCCCACTGCACAACTGCAGAAGACGGGTGAAGTGCGAATTCTAGATCCCGAATGACGGGGAGGGCCGCTGAAGCGAGAGAACAAGGCGACCGAGAACTCCAGGGCATGGGAGTTCTCACACGGCACGCCCAGGACGCGCTGCCGATGTCTTCGCGGGAGCCACGTGCTGACTCGGGAGCACCCACTGCTTCCACGTGGGGACTACGTGAGAATCAGGTTGGCCCACCCCGAGGCCCAGAACCAAAGGGATAAAACCAGCACGGTGTTTCAGAGGCCAGTTGTACCCCTTTTAGAGAGCAGAGGGCAAAAAATATACGCAAGGTGTCACGAGCAAAGGCGGGTTTTCCCGAAAGCACATTTGCTACATTCTGCGCTGTGCTTTTTAAAAAAGCCGGGAACCAGGCCGAGGGGGACCCGCCAGCGTGGAGTCTCCCACGGTCCACGTGTCAGAGACGAAACTCTGCTCCAGGGAGACTGCTTGCTTTAAACACAGAGCCCGCCTCCCTCAAGAAGATCTGCTAGAATCTGAAGCTATAAAGGACCGGGACACATAACTGTTGGTGGCGGAAGAAACGAATCATCAACAGTCTCTTCAGAGACCTCAGGCAGAAGCTCGGAAGGACCCCCCAGAACATGGGTGATGAGCCAGTGGTCTCAGCCCAGCCCGGCCTGCCCCCGCCCCATCTGGCCACCCGACAGAGGAAAGGGGGGCCTTGTCTGGGGAAAGCCCGCGCGTGGAAGGCCACAGTCAGTCACACACTATCTGACACACAGTCAGAAAGTCCTGGGCAGGAAAACGGGGGAAATGTAGCCACAACACTGCCCGCTGTCCGCACCACCCCGCCCAAGGTCAAGCACCCAGCCTCTCCCCTCACTGCTGCACCCCCAGCTCCTGGCCCCCTGGCTCCCCCCTCAGCACCGTGGGCCTCCACCCCTTACACGCTCAGGCCGAACAAACAATGCCACTCCTGCTTCAAAGACTGAATGGCTTCCGCTCTTCTCAAAGTGAAAATAAAAACGAGTGTCCCAACAACAGCCCCCAGGTCCATACACTGCACGGCTCCACACTCCTCCTCCTCCTGCTGCTCACCCCCGGGCTCCCCGCTCCTGCCGCCAGGCGCCCCGGCTTTCCCAGTGTCCACCCAGCCCCCAGGTCGGGGCTGGGACGCTGTGGTCAGAATCGTCCTTCAGAGACCCCAGCCCCCACTATACACATGGCTCCCCCGTCCCCGAGCCACCCAGCACCGTGCCCCCAACCTCCCTACTCGGGGCTCATTCCCACAGTCATTTCTTGCCGGGTGACGGGCTCTACAGTGTCCTCCTGACTCTTCATTCTTTTACCACCCACCCACACCAGTCCTTGCATTCTAACACACACAGATGATGTGTGCCACTTTTTATTTGCTAAGAT